ATGGGCTCCTGGTGGCGGTGGATGTGTTTCTCCTCTGAACATCGTGGGCGTGGCAGACGACCGGGCGGGCCTGCCTAGAGGCGGCTGCTCGGCATGGGGCCGCCATGGTCACTCGCCGGCACGGCGACCTGGCGGAGGAGGAAGCGGTCGCCGCCGTCGGTGCGCCGATCACTCGACTACGCGTAAGAGTGACCCCTCGCCGGAGTGACCTTTGGTGCGGGCCGAGCGCGATGCGACAGCAGCGTCCTGCGCGCTTGTGTTTGGCACCCCCGCGGCCCCGAAAAGCCGCGCACCAAAGGTCACTCTCCCCCGGGATCTGAACCGCTGCGTTGGGCCGAGGGTCCCCGGGCGCCGTTGCCAGCACCAGCCCCCTGCAGAGCGGACGCCTCAGCATGCGATCCGCAGGAGCCGTCCGCGCACCACCATCGTGCCTGGCCGAGACCATCCTGGGCCCCAGGATGTTGTGCAGACCTCTTCTTTTGCCCCGGCAAGAAGGGCGCACAGTCGAGGCGGACTCACAGGTCGACCCTGCAATGCCAGAGGCCACTCGTGCGGAAGGCGCTCGTGCCGGCCAGCCCTGGCGCGCGCGCGCAGGCCCGAGAGGCTCAGGGATCAGTTCGGGTATGGCCAGGACCCCGGGTAAGGGGGCCCGGTTAGTGGTAGGGCCCTGGGGCCCCTCCATTGGCCAGGTTCACTAGGCCCTAGGGCCCTGGGGCTCTTCGATGGGGCCCCTCAATTGGCCCTGAGGCCCCTCAATTGGCCCTGGGGCCCTGGGGCCCCTGGTTGCCCTGGGGCCTCTCCATTGCCCTGGGGCCCCTCAGTTGCCGTAGCCGGTGTTTTTCGGGTGACGGCAGTTCCGGTTCGTGGGAATTGGGCGGGGGGGAGCGCCCCCGGTACAACTCCTTACACCAGGTGCCATTCCACCCAGTTCTGCCAGCGCCCGGATCAGGGCCCCGTCCTTGCCCAGTCCACCCCCAGGGGCGCGAAGGTCCCCGCGCCGCGCGCCCCCGGTACAGCTCCCTACACCAGGTTCCACTCCACCCAGTTTTGCCAACGCCCGGATCGAGGCCCCGTTCTGGCCCGGGCCACCCCCAAGAGGCCCGAGGGTCCCCGCGCCGCGCGCCTCGCGCGGCCTCGGCCGGCGAGCTGCCCCCCTCCGGTCAGGAGGGGAGAAAAACACACAGACACAATTCGTCGTCGATTCCCAGGAAAATATGGGGAAATATGGGAAGTGGGGGGGAAGACAAAAAAAGCCCCGAAAATATACGAAAATATAGGGGAATCCTGTTCTTTGTGTCTATTTCTCCGTGTGTGCCCCACGGCCCCTTCATCCAGGGTGGCCTCGCCAGGGCGCGACGAAGAGGACCGCGCGTCACGCCTCGCGGGGGCGCGGTGCGCGAAGCTGGGCGGCCCAGGTTGCTTGCCTGCCTCTAGGCCTCCTAGATGGGGTCGGGGTGGATGGGGTCGGAGGATCGCGCCGCATCGTCGAGGCATCGCCGACGCAGCTCGATGTGGAGCCCGATGTCCTTCAAATCGACGTCGCCGATGCATCGCCCACGTCGACGCCTCATCGCCGGTGCATCGCCGATGCATCGCCGATGCATCGCCGATGTATCGCCGATGTATCGGCGATGCGGCGCGGTCCTCCGACCCCACCTACTCCGACCCCATCTAGGAGCCCTCTGCTGCCTGCTCCCGCCGCCTGGTGGTAGACACGGTGTTGCAGCTGTGCCGAGCGGCCGGGCGCCCCCTTCGGTGGGCCCGAGAGCACCGGCGCGCTGGCCAGCGGGAGGTCATGGGGGCATCGGGATGCCGCGCGCGACGTCTGGGGCGTTCTCTTGCAGGCCAGCTCTCGGCACCGGCAGTCTTGGGAGCACGTGTGTGTGTGGGACAGTCGGGCGTCGATCAGAGGAGCCGCAGAGCGGAGTTCAGAGACGTGCAAGCCTGGCATCATCACCTCTCTGTTTGTCAATGCCATTTGTGGTATGTGGTTGCTCCTTGCATTGCCAGATCCAGACGAACGAGTACCGTTCGGCTTCTTTTGGGAATCCATAGCCATTTTGGCTCAAGGCATTCGGGATCAGGCCAGAAAAGCTCATCGAAGTGAGTCGCATATCTTTTTTCATATGTGGCATTGATACTCTATTATGCGAGCAATGGCAGCCCATAAGGGACTATTGACCTTGTCCTGGTTGGTACATGTCCACAGCACGTCCACCGCGACTTCTGTGAGGACAGAATCCAGTGCTAGTGATCCTTAACACCCACTGCGTCGGGCGCGTCCATCACCACATGGGCTAATGGTGACATTCATGCCGACTGCGCCGGATTTGATCAGCGCGATACAGACAACAGGTGTTCATTTTGGAAGTCCGCTCCTTTGAGATATATCAGCCCTGGTACCTACACCGACCATCATTGCTACGAGAAGGGGGCTGCGATCGCGACCAGTAGCCCGACGCCCAGCCCGATGCCCAGCCCGTCGATTCCCAATGCGGGCGGCGCGGCCACTGGCGATCCCCACCTGCAGAACATTCCTGGTGAGCGGTTCAACTTGATGAAGTCGGGCAGGCACGGTCTGATAAACATCCCTCGTGGAGAGTTCGCCGAAAAAGTGTTTTTTCGCGTGCAGGTCGACGCGCAACGAATTGGCGGACAGGGCGCGGACACGTATTTACTTCCAGGCAGGAAACGTCACAGGGGTGCTGGCGGGCGCCAGTGCGAAGCTCACGGGCGGCCTTCGCTACTACGCCCAGGACGCTGGCGGCAAGCAGGCCCACTGGAGGCGGTTCGGGCCCGTGCAGTTGAAGATCGCCCGCGGGCGCACGCGGCAGGGCACCAGCTGGACCTCTGCGTCAAGAGCCTCGGGCGCGCAGGCTTCGCCGCCGGAGGCCTGCTGGGAGATGGCGACCACTTCCGGGGGCAGGCCCCGGAGGAGTGCCGCGCCACAGCATGGCCACGGTGGCCGGGCAGGCGCGAGCCGGGCCTCCCCCTCGTGGGGGCGGGGCGCAGCAGAGCCAGAGGCCAGGATTCCGCCTGTTTGGCAGCGATGGAGGAGGAGGGGAGGGGAGCAGTATTTTTTGGGGGGCGCGCTCCAGGTTTGGCGACGGCTTCATTGTCTCGACCTGTCCCCCGGGTCTTCTCCAGCAGTGTGCGTTTCCGAGAGGGGCAAGGGCGGGAGGACCCACCCGGTGCGCCTGCCTTTGCTCCCGCGTATGCCAATGCGGAGTTGCCGCAGACGCCGATCAGTTTGCCCCCAGGGCTACAGCTCCAGGCAGAGGGCGTGGGAGGGGATCGTCTGGTCGTTGGAGTGTGGATCGTGGGGAGGGGAGGGAGCCTCGTGCCTGAGAGCTGGGTCCCGGAAGTCGGCCGCGTGCCGAATGAGGGTCCTCAGCTTGGCCTGCGCCGCCTCCTGCGGAGAGCAGCAGGCCTAGTTCATGGCTTCAGTGGGGTGCGTAGGTACCCAACCCTGATTCCTAGTGTGACATGTGTTGAGCTGGCGAGAGGCTAGTCGGCAGGCGTCCGCGGCAGGATTCCCCCAGCTTGTTCATGTTCATACCGTCGCCAGCACGTTCCACCGAGGCCCGTGACCGGCCCGGCTCCCACTGGGCGCTGTAGCGGGACGGGGGGGAGTGTGCTGATACGGAACCATCACGACGTGGGAGTTTTGGGATCCTGGGGGTTTGACATGCGGCGCTCTATTGTAACTATCTGGCCTCCGGGTCAAGCCGCAGGCAGAATCAGAGCTTGTGTTTTTGCTGCACGCTGTATTTTCCGCGAGCCTTCACACGGGAATGGCCATTCGAATATTCCCGCGCGCTGACAGGAGCGCCTCGCGCATGCTTGCGTTTGTCCTCTAGACGAATTGCGGCCGAGGTGATGGGTAGTATCGCAACGCATATGAGGCAAATGTGCCCCTTCTTTGCGTAGCGTTCCATGATCAAACTGATGGGAAGGATTGATTCAATGGAGCCAACGGCTCGAATTCCAGGTTATGAAGCGATCGTGTACTACGACGTCTGATTTTCGGCGTTCCGGTGCCCCCGCTGAGCTCTTCCAGAGCCGCCCCCCCAGGGCGAACATCGGCGCCATGCCGTGCCTTGCCTGTAGTCAAGAAATACACCGAAACTTTTGTGAATGTGACGCCAATGGTATACCACCCCGACGGCCAACATGGGGTGAGTGAAGCTGGTGTTTGAGTTTCGTTGTGGAGCCGCGCATCGCGGTGCGCGGGGCGCGATGCGCGAAGTTGGGTGACCTGGATTTCCGAATGTTGTCCGACCTCTTGAGTGGAACGGCCGTCGCTGCCACGGAGGCGCATGGTCCTCCTGAGCCTCCTGCTCCTCGATGCGAGGTGATAGATAGATTACCCAGGCCATCTTGGCCAGATCCCGAGTGCGAGCATGCCCACGAAGTGAAAGCTCGCGTGTAGGCCATTCAGTGGGGATCCCAGGCTTGTTCGTTCGATTTTTGGCGGCGCCCACAGCGGGGGTTGCGCGAGGGGGTTTCGCTTCTAAGAAGGCGGCGGGGTTTCCGAGAAGGCAGCGGGGCTTCTCAGAAGCACGCCCAGCTTCTAAGAAGCCTTCTTAGGAACCTTGGGTGCTTTCTAGAAGGCCCCGTGCGCGTTCGAAGGAGCCACTCCTCCTTCTTACGCTGGATGGGACAATCATGGTTCCCCCTGTGATCCGCGGGGAGGGGGGGTGGGGGCACGTGCTGTCGGAACGGGTGGAGGGGCGGTATGAGGAGGAGGAGGGCGAGGAGAAGGAGGAGGATCAGAGCGCTACAGCTGCTCAGCTTGGAGGAGGAGCAGGGGGTGGATGGGCCAGCTCCGTTGGGAGGTCCATCGCCCCCCCTTGGTACATTCGCCATCGGGAACAGAAGGCCGCCCCCCTCGCGCCCCTGCCGCTGTGGGCGCTCCGTTCTTCCTTCTTCTCCTCGGCAGGGCGCGGGCGCGAGCGCGAAGCGTCAAGTCCGCTCCTCCCGCTCCTCCCCCCCCTTGGCTCCAGGCCCCGACGCGGGGCAGGGCGCGCCGCTGTGGCTTCCGCGCGGGCCGTGCCAGGGACCCCCGTCGGCGCCGCGCTCGGCGATTGCAGAGGGTGCGCTCTGTGCTCGGCGCCTTGAGGCCTCGCGGGGACGCCGCGCCGCCCTCGTCGGGCCTCCTCGGGGCGCGGCGGAGAGCTCCGCCGAGGTCCCCGCCCGCCCTTCGGGCTGCGGGCTGCAAGCCCCGCCCTGTGCGTACCGCGCCCTGCGGAGCCGCCGAGCCATGTCCGCTGCTGCCCAGGGCGACTACGTCGCCGGCGTGCTGCGCGACATGTACGGCGGCGGCGCCCTCCCGCGCGCCGCGACGCAGCTGCTGCGGGACCGCTGCAAGGCGCGGAGCTCCTCGGCGCCCCCCGCGCGGACGTGGTCGAACTCCGCGTCAGAGGGGCGGGCGGAGAGGAGACGAGGGAGGAAACGCCACCCCGATCCCCATCATTGGCGGTGGCGAAACAACCGTGGGCGTTTACCAAGCGGCCCTGCCCTGTTCGACCCCTTCATTCTGCGGCGCGTTTATTGAAGGGCTTCGCTTGCCGGGGTGCATATTGCGAGGGTGGTCCTTCTCAGGATCGGTTAACCAATGCCCATCCCCACCTCCATCCCCATCCCGATCCCCACCATCCCACCACCCCCGCTGGGGGTGTGGCCCTCAAACTCCCTGCATCCCCATTTGGTGGGGTGAATCGGGCAATGGGGCCCAGGCCACGCCCGTGGGGATCGTCGTCGTCCTCGTCGTCGTCCTCGTCCTCGTCCTCGTCCTCGCCCTCGTCCTCGTCCTCCTCCTCCGAGGTTCGTCTTCTGCCCTCCGAGGAAGCGCGTCGACCTGCGGGTGCCCCGCGTGGGGCGCGGCCGGGGCTCCGAGGAGCCGGCGCTGCCGCCCAGGATGCCAGCGGGGCGGCGGCCGCACGCCGCGATCGTCCGGGAGACGGCGAACTACTGCCGCCTCGACGAGCGGCCCCAGCGGGGTGCTGCCAGACGTGCCCCCTGGCCCACGGCTGGGGGAACACAAAGTGGCATAAACATGACAACTCGGAGGTCCGCGCGGATTTCTCGGATCGGCGCTGGGCCCCCCTACCTGGCGCGGAGGCGCCGCCTCGACGAGCGGCCCCAGTGGGGTGCTGCCAGACGTGCCAGACGTGCTGTAGTCAAACAGCTAGTCAGAACATCGTCCCCATATCATCTGTTGGCTGCTTTTGAAAGTTCCTCCTGTAGAGGGACACGCCCGACTTAAGCAAGAAAACTCGAGGGTACCTTTCCCCAGGTTGCACAAGAGCATGCAACACACAACGAAGAACATTCGACAACCCTAGGGGAACAAAAACTGACATAAACATAACAACTCGGAGGTCCGCGCGGATTTCTCGGATCGGCGCTGGGCCCCCCTACCTGGCGCGCTCCGCGCGCCAGGGGCGGCGCCGGAGGCGCCGCCGGGTGGCCCCAGCGCCGATCCGAGAAATCCGCGCGGACCTCCGAGTTTTCATGTTTATGCCACTTTTTGTTCCCCCACAAGGGGCCCCCAGGATTTCCAAGGAGGCCCCCACGGCCTCCAGAGCACCCCACCACGAGGCCCACGGGGCCCCAGGGGTTCCAGGGTTCAGCGCACAGCTGGGGGGGCGCCTTGGGCCAGGGGCACCTTTTAGCAGCGCCCCGACCCAGCAGCTCGGCCGCGACAACGACGCCGAGAGGCAGTGGCTGGCGGACCGGCGCTACATTCGGGAGCGTCCAGGAGAGTCGGGTGAGGACCTGGGGGGTGCGTGTCTCAGAGGAGTGATCTGTCCCCCCTGAGTGGCCCTCGCCTTGCCCCCCCCCCTCCCTCTGCGACCGCCCGCTCTGTCCCGTGTTCCTGCTCGCATGCTGGCCAAGTCGCTGCAACGGTGCCCCCGTTTAGTCAGATCCTTCCGCCAGCACCGACGACCCCTGCCTAGCCGCCGGCGCAAAACAATCCCAGGGACATAGGGGAAAATATGGGAAGTGGGGGGGGGAAACGAAAACCCAGAAACCACAGGAAAATAGTTTGGGAATCCTGGGATCTGTGTCTGTTTATTTGTGTGTCCCTGGGCCCCATGTCGTCTCAGACGAGGCAGAGATGCCGATACCGCTGCTCGTGCTGGAGAGCTCGCCGCCTCGGCGGAAGCCTCCTCGCCATATTCTGGCCAGGCCGTGCCCCCTGGGGAGAGGTCCAGGGGCCAGGTTCCGTCGGTGCCTCGAGGCTTTCTCTCGCGAGCCTTGCGGGGTCCTCCTCCTCCTCCTCTTCCTGTCCTCCTCCTCAACCTCCTCCTCCTCCTCCTCCTCCTCCTCCTCCTCCTCCTCCTCCTCCTCCTCCTCCTCCTCCTCCCAGTCAGACAGGTACCCTGGGAGAGGTCCAGGGAGTAGTTTCCGTCGGCTCCTGGAGGTTCTCTCTCGCGAGCCTTGCGGGGGGGGGGGGGGGCTTGCGTCGTCCCGAGCTCGCCGCTGGAGGCCTGAGTTGTGACGCGAAGGCCCCCTGGCGTGTGGATGCCGTGGCTGGGGCCACGGGGCACCGTGGCGTGAGTTATGAGTGATGCCGCGGGGCGGGAGCCAGGGGTTTGGATGCCGTGGCTGGGGCCACGACGTCTCCCAGATCCTGGCCCCCTCCCCCTCTCTCAGCACGTCTCTCGACATCCCCCTTCCCCGCGCACATGCCTCGGGCCAAGATGCGCGAACCCCGCCCGGCCCAAGTCCGCTCCAAACCGATCCCTGAACCCGTCCAGGAGTCCATCCTGGCCATTCTGCCGAGGCGGAGCCAGCTGTGGCGACGAGAAGCTTCCAGGAGGCCCAGGGAGGTCGAGAGGCGCACGGGAGGGCCGCCGCTGTCCGACTGCCCCAACACCACCCCCACACTCCGACGCTCCACCCGGGATCCCCCCCGAGTCACCCCTTCGTGGCCAATCGGGGCCTGGCTGCCTGCCCCCGCCCCCCACCCAGAGAGGGCACGGTGTCGCTGCCGATGGCATGTCGCCGGTCTATCGACGATGCGTCGTCGACGTCGGTGCCAAGTCAATGCTTTCCCCCCGAACCAGCCCCCCTAACGCCCCCCCCGTCTACGGTTGACGGCGTTGTAGAGATGGCGTGCGATGTGGCCTCGCCGGCCCGCTTGTTACGTGCACGCTACCCCCCACTTGTGGGATACAGCGAAGAAGCTCTAAACCGGGACCGCGTGCACAGAGCCGGCCTCTGCGTGGAATCGCCTCGCAGGCATGGCGTGCTCTTCGGAGATCGATGCTGCATGCTATCCCTCCATCGCCAACCGTACTGGTCCCCCAACGTTCACGAGCGGCGAACATACACAATGGAGGCCCATGCCAAGACACACCCTGCTTGCCTCCAGGGTGCCCTGGGTTTCTTGGGTTTCGGTGGTCCTGCGATGGAGAGCGTGACGCTTCCCGCACCAAAAATCCATGGACGTCTTGGGGTCTCAGGCTTGGGTCTCTTGTGGAAGGTTTGATGTGGACTAGCCTCCACTGTAGCGTGCGTTTCGGAGATCGATGCTGCACGCTATCTTTCCGCCGCCAACCGTACTCTTCCCCCAGCTTTCACGACCGGCGAACACATTTGTTTTTGATCCGCGGGTCGAGAGCGCACCTCTTCAGGTCGAAGCTAAGCGGGCCGCGCACAGCTTTAACTAACAAAGAGGGAAGGCAGAAGGAGGGGCCTCACGTCAAGGCCAGGAGGGGGCAACGCCCTGGAATCAGGCGGTGCCGAAGACGATGTGCTTGCAAAACGACCGGCGAACACATCCGCATCCGCGCGCTCGCTGTCTCGATTCCGAGACGCGATCCGCGGGCCGGGCCCTTGGGCCGCGCCCCCGCGGCTACGGGGCGCTCCTGCGCAGTGCGAACGCGCACGGCCAGGACGCTGAAGTACAGTGGAGGCCCATGCCAAGAAACACCCTGCTTGCCTCCAGGGCGCCCTGGATTTCTTGGGTTTCGATGGTTCTGCTGTGGAGCGCGTGACGTTTCCACACGGACAGGATCGACCCAAGAACCCAGACAGCAGCATAGAACTGTGAGGCATGGCAACGTTTTCAGGACACCTCATTGGCGACGGGCAAGTGCAATATTGAGTGTATCTATAACCTCATGCCCGTGAGAATAAACACTAGGGGATAATAAAGTTCGGGGTTCAGGGAGAGATAATAAAAGTAGCCCAGCAGACCTCAGCATAATCCTTGAAACATTGCTCGTTTCGTTTGAGTCTGCCTCCCAAAATTATTGGTTTCGCTTGACACATCCTGAAAAAGTGTGATCGCTTCGCTTGATGTTGCTATATCAACATCGCTTGATGTTGCTATCTCAACATAGCGTTTCGAGGTGATAATGAAGTTCGGCCTCAGCGCTCGCCGCCAAATTTGAATTTTGTATAGGGCGACGATAATCAACTCTAAACACTGAAGGGGGGGTCCCTTTATTATCATCGGCATGCGGTTATATATATATATACATATATATATGTATATATATATATATATATATATCTTGTACCGTGCCCAGGACTGACTTGTGATGTGCCATGCCGCGATTGGGTTACATAGCGTTGTGGATCGAGACTTCCTTTGCATCCGAATCTGGACCGAATTGATCTGAATCTTAAGCTCGAGCTGCCTGAGCACACAGTAGCTGCCCCAGAGATGGTTGAAGTGGAAACGTGCGGGACGTTCAATCAACTCAACTCCGAAAAGGAACGGCACGACACGGGGCACAGGCTCACGGAATCGCGGATGCGACAGAGGGTGTGTCAGGGGGCGTGTGAGGGGATGTAAAAAGGGGACGTGCCTTGGACGTGTCAGGGACCTACCACGGGACGTGCGGACGTGCCAAGGCGCGTGCCATGGGGTGGCCAGAGGACGTCATGACAAGGGACGTTGCAAGGGGCGCGCCACGGAACGGGCAGGGGAAACGCTTGGGGACGAGCCAGGAAACGCAACAGACGAGCCAGGGAACATGCTACTCCGAGTGGCGTGCTGGGGGACGTGCCAGGGCACGTCACGCCAGAACGTCGCAAGGGACGTGCCAGGGGATTCGCCAGCGCGCCAGCGGACTCCCCACGGACGGGCAAGAGTTTCGCTCGAGACGTCTTCAACAGATGCTCATGTTAGATATCCGCTTGGACGACCTGGACACGTAAAAACAAGCGTTTCGCTCGAGACGTCCTCAGCACATCCTCATGCTACACATCCGCCTGGGCGACCTGGACACGTGAACAAAGCGTTTCGCTCGACACATCCTCAACACATCTTCATGCTGGAGATCCGCCTGGGCGACCTGGACACGTGAAACCAAGCGTCTCGCTCGAGACATCCTCAACACATCCTCACGCTACACATGTGCCTGTGCGACCTGGACGCGTGAAAACAAGCGTTTCGCCAGAGACACCATCGACAAATTCTCATGCTTGACATCTGCCTGGGCAACCTGGGCGAGCGAAACCAAGCATCTCGGTCGAGACATCCTCAAGACCTGGGCACGTGAATACAAGGATTTCACCTGAGACATCCTCTGAATTCTGGTTCCCAGGAGAGGAACAACCTGTAACACAAAACAATCGTTTCGCTCGAGGCATCCTCAACAAATTCTGCAAAACCAAGCGTTTCACTCGAGGCATCCGCGACAGACGAAAATGATAATTTTACCATGTGTTTTATCGATCGATCTTTCAAAAACCATCGTTTCGCTCGGGACATCCTCAAATGTAATTCCGCCAGGCCTTCCGACCTCGATATGTATCAGGGACTCCGCCGGCCCTTCCCCAACGTGGCACCGGGAACAAGTTTGCCAACTACGGGAGAACCCTGGGCCTCTGTCCTTTTCTGGGAGACGCGAACGGACGTCCTGGGGTCTCAGGGTTGGGTTTCTCGTGGGAGCCTGGCATCCGCTGTATTCGCGCGAGCGCGCACGGCCAAGGCGCTGAGAAACAAGGGCCACTCTGGGTTCGGGAGGGACTCTGTCTTTCGGGCTGCTCCGCAGGTCCGGGTCGAGGAACCCAGTATGCCTTCTTGGAACAGGAGCCGGGGTGGGTTATCCTGGGGGGTTATCCTGGGGGGGGTTATCCTGGGGGGGGGTTATCCTGGGGGGGGGTTATCCTGGGGGGGTTATTTATCCTGGTGGTTATCCTTGGGGGGGTTATCCTGGGGGGGGGGGGTGTCGCCCTAAACTGGGGTGGTCTGGTCAGTTTGGCTTGACACATAATCGAAATTTTGGGCCCGGAGATGGCGGCGTCCCCGTATCTCTGGGCTCGGACATGCAGCGCGCGAGGTGGTCCAGCCACTTCATCCAGAGACATCAGGGCTCGGAGATGCAGCGCGCGAGGCGGTCCAGCCAGTTTCGCCAGAGACATTCTCGCAACTCTGGGCTCAGAGATGCCGCGTGATATTTTCTGTCCAGGTTCGCCTGAGACAGCCTCGCAATTTTGGGCTCAAAGGTGACTTGACCTGGACCGTCCCTTCTGAGACGTCGTCAGATGCTCTGCGTGAGATGGTCTGGCCAGTGTGACTTGGGACGCCCTCGCATGCCTGGGGTCGGAGATGCAGCGTGCGCGTCCAGTGTCGCCTGAGACGTCCTCGCATTGTTGGGCTCCATTTCTGGGCTCCGACATGACCTGACCTGAGGTGGTCTAGCCAGGTTCGTCTGTGACATGCCGCGCACGAGGTGATCCAGCCAGTTTCGCCTGAGACGTCCTCTTGTCTCGTGGCTCGGAGATGCAGCACGCGCGGCCAGCGTCGTCCGAGTCATCATCGCAACTCTACGCACCGAGATGCCCTCATCTCAATGGTTCGGCCTCGCAACTTCAACCTCCCAGCTGCCGGTTGCGAGGTGGTCTGACCCGCGTCGCCA